CGAGGAGGTTTCAGAAAACGTAATTTTTTTTTAGTTATCCAAATGATGAAACAGTTCTAATGACAATCAAATAGCAATATACAACATGTAGAATTTCTAGCACTAATGTAAATATTTTTCAAGTTTTACTTTCAAAAGTAGCTTCATTCATACCTGAACAACTTTTTGGGACTGTACATCAACAATCAAGATTCTGTCCAAAGTTGGCTGAGCAACATAAATGAACTTGTCTTTGACATTAACAGCTGAGGCCCATACACATCTCTGCACCTCCTCGTCCTCAGCTTTGGGACAGACTTCATCCTGCATTAAGGAAAATGAAAAACAATTCTAAATTACAACGTAGGAATGGAAGTATCCTGGATAAAATCAATATTTGATGATAAAGTACACTTACATGTACACAGAATAGGATAAGTGAGCAGTACGCAAAGTATATTTAACTTTATTAAATGTATAATGAAATCAATGTAATCAGGTTCCTGTAAAATAAATTCCATGTCAATTATTGACTTTTTTGTTAAAATGTAGATTCTTTTCATTTTTACCAGTTGTTTATAAGTCAAAAGTTTAAGAAAAGCATAATAATTTTTTTTTCTCCCCAAGTCCTCCCATTGTCAAGTTCTGTGACATAAGAGATGTCATGCAGTGGTGCATTCTCCATTCCTCCAAATGCGAGCAGCTGCCCACATGGCACCACAGAGTTTTGTGAGTGCATTTACACAGACACCAATTCATACAATGGGATATTAATGAATAATCATCTCAGAGCTTCTTTTGTTTTATTATTCAAATATGGAATTTGATAACTAGTGCCTAATTTTTTGATTTGTACATTCTTGCACATTGTATTTGAACAGTCTCAAATCCTAAGCTGATTTAGAATATTTTCTTCTCCAGTTCCTATAAAACAGTTTTATGATGGTGATTCCATTTGATATCTGTATTTAAGAAAGATGACACAAAGGCAATGCTGCTATCAATATCAATATTTTAAGTGCATAATAGAGACAGCAGATATTCCACATTTAATATTTGGTTATTATACTGGATCTCTAATAACATAACAGTTCTTAGGCAGCCCAGTCATTACTTAAGGTAGCTTTCTTGTTTGATTTAAAATTTGGAAAAGAATGTAAACATCAAAGCCCATAGAAATGAGATAGATTAACCTACTGTTTACATTTTCCTGACATCAGGTAAATGTCAGGTAAATGTAAATAATTCACAGAGGACCTGGAAAATATAGTATCTTTTCAAATTCAGTCTAGTTTGCAAGGTTAAGAGACAATCACTTCACTGTTCTTTAAAATGGTTGTTTGCAGATCTTAAGCAAAAATCCTGTAGTCCAAGCTTTCAGTGTTTGAATGATTCAGGATGTCCAGGTTAGTAAAGGAACTTTGATTCATAATTTGTAACACAACTTCTATAAAGTAATTGGCAGTGGAGCCAATGGAGAATACCCATGCCAAGGAAAGGAGGTCACTCAAACCTGGAGGCAGAGGGATGGAGTGCAGTTATGAAATTTCACTCATCAGTTCCCATGAAACATCTGAGTAACTTTTCCTCAGAGCTATACTGAAGGCCACTGAAAAATGCCTATTTTTTTTAACAAATAAACACCATACAAAATATATACTTGAAAGTATGAAAGGAGAGAAGTTGGACCTATTGTTGATGGATGATGAAAGGCCCTGAATATAAGGAAATTGTTTGCAAATTTTTTGTTCTTGTGTAAAAACTCCCCACTAAAGCTGCCAAAGTAATGCAAGTGTTAGTGTCCTGACACATTGCTGTCAGCCAAACAACTTCTGGACAAGAAGTAATTTCCACTGCTCTGTCTGCTTCAGAATGATTCAAAGTAAAATAAACTGTCTGGCTGGGAATGATTTTCTATTTGTATGCTCACCCCATAAGACATCCCGAGCCAGACCTGCAATCATTTTTACAAAGCCATTAAGAGCTTCCTGACAGTCACCCTGAATTTTCTTTGCTTTGAGTCATTATTTTTGATTATAGCCTGTTAGATCCTATTTTACAGCAGCACTGCTATTTTTTCAGATTTATATATATATATATATATATGTGTGTGTATATATATATAAAATATATATATATAGAGAGACAATATTGTAGCCCCCGCGCGCCCGG